TTTTTTGACCGACCTTAAGACTCAGACCACCGATTGAGCGCTTGGTGATGTTGCATAATGTGCTCGTTCAGAAGTTTCAGAGTCGCGGCCGTGAGCCTCTGCCTCCGGACTTCCGAACCCTCTCTTGGTGGCCTTGCCTCGTGTTTGCGAACCAGACTCGTTTTCTCTGTTTCTTTTCCTGAGGGGGAGGGAGAGGTTAGTGGCCGTAGGCTACGTTTCGTGGTCGTAGGCCATTTTGCCCATTTCGGAGTCCGGTTTCCGATTTTTCGGGACCGTTGGCCGTGTGCCTCGGTTCGGGACCGCCTAACCATCTCCGTTCGCTCTGATTTTTGGCATACAGCTTATTTTCTCCCTTTTTGAGGGACACTGGGGTCTGAGAAACCCACTTCGTGGCCGAATGCCACTTTCGGTGCTTAACAGCCCATTTTCGGGCCCCCGAACTGCGTGTTTTGGCCCCCGAGCATTCGTTTTGCATCGATTTTCGTTCATTTTTGGCAGGTGCCTCTGTTTCATCACCAGGAAGGCCGTAGAAGGGTGGGAGGCCAGCAATTATCTTAGCAACCAGTTATATTCCATTTTCGCCCTCCGGCGCCCGTTTTTCTCACTTTCGAGTCAATGTTGAACACCTTGGGGCCACTTTCTTCAACCCCAAACTACATACTTGTGTTGTACACACTTGAGAGGATCCTAAAAGTTGGCGTCCGGCCACTAATGTCACCTGACCCTTTTGAACCCCTCCTAAAAATGGGTTGTTCTCTATCCTGTTTTAGAGTTTCCAAATTCGAACCACAGGGTTGTGAAGAGGAGACCTGGGAGGCCACCTTTTTGTGGTGGCCGGCCACTAAAGCAAGTTGACCCTTTTGACCCCTAGCCGGCCGGCTAGGGGCGGTGGCCGGCCGGCCACCTGCAAGCCCAAAAAGTGGCCGGCCATGTTTCTTGCAACACACACTTTACAGCTGTATAGCTGTATCCCCCAGAAAATATCTCAATCCGGGGGATATTTTTTGGGGGAAAACTTGCCTCATTTTCCCCCACCTTTTCCCCACTTTACACCCTCTTTTTGTTCCATATAACCAGCTGCCAAGCCTTTGCATAGGGGGTTAGAAAAATTGTGTTCAAGTCTTGCATCCAAATCTCCCTCTATCTCTCTCATTTTCTCAAAAACATCCAAGTTCTACACCTCATTTCTTCATCAACACCAAACACCATCACCACCATTCCATTTCCAGCATCAAGGAGGGTTTCTCAGAGACAAAAGGTGCTGCAACTTGGTCCAAGAAGCAACCAAAGAGTGGTCTACAAGGGTGAGTTGCCATTTCCCCTTTTTGAGCTTATTTTGGTATCATTTCTTAGCCATATATGCTTTTTGCTTTGAGCTCTGGCCATAACTGAAAGTGGCCTTATTTTGAGCTCTTTTTCACTTTTTCTTAAGGGCTCAACCCTGTTTGAGCCCCCCATATTGCACTTGCTTCAATGTCTTCCTTAAATACTATTTTCTTGCATGCTTTGGCAGCCTATTGTGCTTCAGTTTTTAGTCTTTTTACAGTACTAAAAATAATCTTATTTTGGTCCATTCTTCATGTTTTATTAAGGGCCTTTCATGGTTTGGGACCTCCATATGCTACTTCATGTTATATCCCTCCTTGGTCCCCTTTTCTTGCATGCTTTGGCAGCCCATTATGCTTTCATTTTTGGGCGTTTTACAGAACTAAAAAAAGGCTTACTTTGAGCCCCTCTTCAACATTGAAGAAGGGCTCAACACTGTTTGGGACCTCCATGCTACACTTGCCTTTATATTCCCTCTTTGGTCCCCATTTTTGCATGTTTTGGTAGCCTATCATGCTTCGGTTTTTGGCCTTTTTACAGTACTAAAAATAGTCTTATTTTGGCCCATTCTTCATGTTTCATTAAGGGTCTTTGGCTGTTTGATGAATATTTTGTATACTTTGTGTTATAGCCACTTTTGAGCCTCATTTTGCATTGCATTTCTAGCATGTTTGTATTTGTTTTTGGGGTTTTTACAGTTCTGTAAATATGCATATTTTTGGTCCCTCTTCAATGTTGTAGAAGGGAATTTTTCAGTTTGGGCTTTGCATATACCACTTGCCTCTTTGGCCACCTTTTGGCCCTTTTTCTTGCATGGGAGTGCAGCCATAACTGTGTTTGTTTTTGGGATTTTTACAGTTCTGGAAAACATCATATTTTGGGCCCCTCTTCAACTTTGTTGAAGGGCCCTAACCTGTTTAAGGACAGCAGCTGTGAGTTGCTTCTTAATCCCATGTTTAGGGCCATTTCTTGCATGCTAGTTTTGCACTGTTTTTGCTTGCTATTTGGCCATGTTTTGAACTGGAAAAATACTTAGTTTGAGGCTGCCTTGCTTCTGTCTTTTCACCTCATGTACCAATTATGCATGCTTTGTATAGCTGTAGTTCATTCTATGCGCCTAATTTGCATTTCGGGAGAGATTCCATGCATCGGGTGTGTTTTCGCCTCATTTCGGGGCTGTTTTCCCCACATTTTATTGCTGAAAATCCATTAGCATGCTTGCATATCATTTTTGCCATATTGCATTGCGTATGCCATTGTCTCGGTTTGTGTGCCCGTGTGCACGCGTTTCGAGGCACTTCATTTTCATCCATCGGCCTCTTATGTGAGTGTGGCTGAGGCTCCCTCATGTTAGTATAAGTTCATGTTGCATTTTCCATGCCATTGCATTGCGTAAGCCATTGCCTCGGTTTGCGTGCCCGTGTGCACGCATTTCGAAGCACTTCATTTTCATCCATCGGCCTCTTATGTGAGTGTGGCTGAGGCTCCCTCATGTTAGTATAAGTCCATGTTGCATTCTATATGCCATTTTTTCCATATTGCATCGCGTATGTCATTTTCTCAGTTTGCGTGCCCGTGTGCACGAATTTCGAGGCATCTCATTTTTTTACAGCATAGTGCATACTAGGTTGTATCTTAGATCACATTCTGTCATTTTCTCAGTTTGCGTGCTCGTGTGCACGCATTTCGAGGCATGTCATTCCATAGCATTTATCTTAGATCGCATTCTGTCATTTTCTCGGTTTGCGTGCCCGTGTGTACGTATTTCGAGGCATCTCATTTTTACAGCATAGTGCATACCATGTTGTATCTTAGATCGCATTCTGTCATTTTCTTGGTTTGCGTACCTGTGTGCACGCATTTCAAGGCATCTCATTTTCATAGCATTGTGTATGTTAGGATTGTATCTTAGTTGCATTCATGCATATCATGCATATTGCATCGTGTTCGGGATAGGAGTTAGCCCGAGCACGGGAAACGAGGTACGTTTCGTACTCCGAGTGACGAAACGCGTCTCAATTCCCCCAGTCACCGACACTCCGGATTATCCATGATGGAGTTAGGTTTTTGTTGTGTTTTCATGTGCATTCATCATATATTGAATTGTGCAATTCGAATCCTCTGCCATCATGCATCGATATGCGTGATTGGTGGCACGAGGATCGAGGCATGCATATATCTGTGAAAATACATTGCTATGCCCCTTTCCTGCTCTCTGTTGCAGCAAAATGAAGAATCAGCAATTTTTCGGTACTTGGCGCGTTTTCCAAGGATAACTGCTAAACAGAGGCTAATTGGGGCATCCCGGTGGATTTCCGCGCAAGGCAGCCTAAACATACATCATCCATCAGAAGCAAGACAATCCCGAGCTTGCACGCCAGTTTTACTTGCTTTCTTAGTTAATTTATTAATTAATTAGGAATCTGTATATTATTTGGACTGTAATATTCGGACTGTAATATTCTTTTATTTGGGACTGTATATTTATTCGGACCCTCTGCGCGAGGGCACAACTGTAATAAGTGTGCGTGAGTGTGATGTATGTCTTCCAACCCCACGTCTTTCTTCCCTTTTATTTACCTGCTTATGATGGTTAGATTAGGGCATGTTTCAATTAGCATACAGTATGACAGCATGTTTGCATCATTCATCTGTATTGCATACACCGGGCTCGGCGCATCATACTAACTGCATTGTATTTTTCAATTCTAAATTGAATACATGATAGTTGTAGCATCTCATATGCCATGTTTAGAATAGCCGAGCCTGCTATAGTTGCATTTTGCATGTGTTGCATTAGGCATTTCTGTATAATTAGGATCATGCATGATTTCTAATACAGTTCTTGTTTTGGCTTGGAGTACTTGGTAAGCTTTATGCTTTAGCATCCTTGCATGTGTGTGAGTGACTGCCATGAATAGCATGCTTACCATGAGACTGTTTGCTTATATGATATATCTGCCTGAATGCCTGTGGGTGAAGGTTGGGTTACTTAAATTGGAATAAATCATCAAATGTTTTAAGCCTACCTGCGGGTAGCAAACCATTTTCAAAAAGCGAACATGAAATGTTTTGTTCCAATTCAGGCGACCCAGTCTATGATCGGGCGAGCGGGGGTGCTCACGAAGTGACCTTCCCTAATCGTACCCAAGTTCCCGAGCCGAGGCAACTTTGGTGATGACGGACACGTGGCCTTTGGCACCGAGTCAGGGTTTCCTAAATTTTCCATTAAAAAACATTTAGGTGGCGACTCTGTATCTGGCAAAGCAGTCTATGTTTGGCACTTCTTTCAAAAAATCTGTTTTTTCTCAAAACGATTTGCCGGATTTGGACTCTTTGGTTCAGACTTAGAACCGTGACAAATTTAAGAGTCCTGAGCTGTAGTGACCCCAATATGAACGGAACGGGAGCTCGTTCCTCCCGGGAGCGTTCGGGGACGTCTACAATAGGATCAATCACTTTTTTGTCTTCTTATTCTGATAAGTGTCCTTGTAGAAATCGCAGATATCTAGCAACAATCCACCATTTTCCGTCACTTATGAAATGCTAAACACCGAGATCAACACTCCTTCATTAATGTGATAACATATTAAGTGTGGATAAAGTTAATAAAATCAATGAAATACATCTCACAGCAATGCTCATCGCCGCTGGAAAAGATCGAGACCCACTAGTGTGATTGTAGGGTAGCTTGCTTCTATTAAGTTTGCCGGCATCATAGCGACTCTACATAATCCACATTATAAGGGTTTGTTACATATATAGTTATTATTGGTAAGAGTACTAAGTAGTATTGAAGGTGGTTAGATGTGCAAGTGGATTAGAGTTGTTTATAGGTATATAAATTGATCCTTCATTCTATTAGATTTCAATTACTTGTTAATAACACATTATTATTTTATAACTAAATCATAACATACCTTGTTTTTGGGATCCAACCATACATGATCAATCAAATACTTCCAATCATCTAGGCTCACTCCTTTCTATGGATGAGCATAGGGATCAGCTCTCGCATTCACAAGCTTCTCCCATTTCCTCTTCATTCTGCACTTCCAATCTTTATGTAATACATAACACTTCTTTTCCACAACTTGCTGAGACAGTGAATTGTCCTCATAAGCATCCCCAATTTCAAATTTATCCTATAATCAATACAAACCAAATAAGTAACATCAATGCACATGTGAAAGCTAAAAATATTTAGTTACAGTAAGAAAACTTTAAAAGGTTTTTGAAAATTACAGTAAGAAAACCTTAAAAGGAAATTGAGTGCTTTTTTGAATTTAAAGAAGGTACCTTTGGGCATTTTGCTCTGTGATTTTTATTTTGCAATCTGTTTTTAATGCCAATGTTTCTAAATATGTATTTCTTCTGTGACACATTTAAAGGCTTATAATGCGGTTCTTCATGAGGCAGTGTGAGAAAAAAAAATATTCAAAAAAATAACCAAGTGAATTATTTATCTATTATTTTAAGGTTTAATGCCTTGTGTAAATATTTTCCACCACACTCTGTTATGCTCTCAACACTGCTCTACTTGCAACATGTAAAGAATTTGGCAAGCTAACTGAGAATTTCTTCTCAATAAACACCACTTGGGTATTCTGTGTCACCACCTGTAATAATCCTCAAACTCTTTCTGTCTTGTAGGATTGACTCAGTTTCGCTCTCAAGAGTTTCCAGTCCAAAGGTTTGGAGAGAGAAAAAGGTGGGAAGCTCTATTTAGTGGTTAAGGGGCTTGTTGGGGATGAAGAAAAAGAAGGAAAATGTCGAGAATTCAAATTCCAGTGACTAGAAAGAGAAGAAAAGGGGGAGTTTTCGCAAGTCTAATACAGATTCAAGGGTTGTGGGTAACATTCTGGTGAGTATTCTAGTGACTGATACTGCTTGGATGAGATCTTACATTGTTGAGACAGAGAGAGTAGAATAAGCACGCAATTATTGTTGCTGCTGCCACAGCCGATGCCGCAGTTGCGGTTTCGCAGGCAGCGATGGTTGTGGTAAGGCTTACTAGTCAAGGCAAAGGAGCTCTGTTTTGTAGTGAGGCAGAAAAGTGAGTTGCAGAAAAAATACACTGTTTTCAGAGGCTTTTTGGTAAGTGTGTATTCATTTTCCATTTGATTCATTGATCTTTACAACTTCAAGCTCATCTCATAAATTGATTTTTTTAGAAGGGTATTGGAATTTTGTGTATCTTGTGTTCTGATATATTATGATTTTAGTTAGGTTTTCTACATGTACTACACATGAAAACAACACTGTTTCCATAATTCACATAGACCATGACTTAAATTAAATCATACCCGGATAGCTTGTACAACATCCCCTTTTGTTATTGAATCAGCAACTGTCCAACTGCTAACGCCTTGAATAGAACACATCCTCCTAACCTGAATGCCAATCTCATTAGATCTTGGGGTCACTAGCACACCTTCCAATGCATTGAATGTCTCAATTATTGGAATGTAGAGCTTGTTTCCATTATTGTTGGCAATTCTTTTTTCTGTTACTTTTCCAACTATTGGCCCCTGCACACACCTTGATGAAGATGCACATGCTAATTGAAAATATTATTAGTGTATTTGTAAATTTAAAAATATAAACAAATACATAAATTTCAGCTAGATGAAACATATGTAATTATCTGCACCACTTGTTTGACTTTGAGAAGATGGTGCATTAGTTTGAGACGGAGCTGGTGTAATAGTCTCAGATCTTGACAACGCAGTAGTTTAAGATGAAGATGGTGCAATAGTCCCAGATCCATCTGCTCCATGACCTTCAGAAGAAGGTGTAGGTGTATCGGTTGGGGATGAGTAGGGTTCAATTAAGGCCCTCTTTGGTGGTGGTAAATGGCGCATCTTTTTTGCAGGAGCCTTTTTGATAAATTTTAAAATAATCAAAGACAAAGGGCACAATGAACACATGGATAAGCACAAATTTTACGTGTGTACAAATATGTACATCAAGAGTGATAATTAACAAATATATAAGTAAGAAATGAACATCCATGAAAATCTTAATTTCATATATATATATATATATATATTAATCCATCTATGTAAATTTGCAAGTGATATTGAAGACATATGTAACAAAAGTTGTGGTAATAAGGAATCCATGCCTACTACCACTAATCACATAGGTAAGTATTAGTTTTTTAGTTACTACTGTTGAAGGCTTCTTTCATTTGTTGTTCTAAATAGCTGTACAAAACAATGTAGGGCTTTGAAAGCCTAAAACATTTCAGGACAAGTGCCGCCAAACTTTTCAAAGCTTTGCCACCTTCAAACATTGTAAGCAAAACAAAACCTGTTATAGAATTCCATATTTCATTTGTAACTCATGGGACGTTTTGTTGTATCTATCATTCATTCAATATTATCTAACCAAATCAAAGCAACAAAACAACTACGATAATAACGCTAGATTTAACTTCTGATATAAAAAAATAGAAAACCCACTAATCCTCTACTTCTTGTCATGTAGGGACCTTAATCGTAACTACTTCAATGGTTCAATACCTTCCCAGTGGGCTACCATGCGCTTGGTTGATCTGTACACAAAGCAACTACCATTTTTAGTAGGTTTCTTTTGTTTTTTGAAAAATAATTCACATAAACATGTAAATGTTGCTAGATATTGCAGTTCTGTCATGGGAAACCAATTGTCCAGTCCATTCCCAAAAGTTCTCACCAATAACACCACCTTTGCAAACTTGTAAGTTGGACTCTCTTCTTAACAAAAAATGATGGGTTGATTTAAAAATGGATCCATGAGAATCATGTCCTGATATGTTTGTAACATAGGGAAAAATACCTCAAATATACATGATGATGATGATGATAACTGATAACAACACTAGAGCCTGGAAACATAATTAAACCACTATAAATTCCAATCCTTGTAATGAAAAGAAATCAAAAAGTGGTTATCATAGAAACCATAAACTATTAAATATATGTTGTCAAATGTTACCCCTCTCAGAGCTCTATCCAATGGGGACCAAACTTGGCAGATTTTTTATTCATTTTGGAGCCTAATGCAGTTATAATTTAATTTCTTTGGTCAATTTTAAAGCATTCATGACATGTCCAACTAAAACTAGTTTTTTTAGGGAGCTCAGTTAGTCTAAGCTACACTTTATTAGTTCTTACTATGAATTTTCAATTGATAAATGTAGCTTTGCTTGAAGTTAATGTGAATATGTGCATCTTACCAAAGCATTGAAGGAAACCACTTCTCAGGGACCATTCTCCTGCAGATTGGGAAATTGATTAATTTACAAAAGCTGTAATCATTTTCATCATGATTATGCACATCAGTTCTTGAAAGTTGGTTGGTAATAACTGCTAATTTCATGTTTAACGCATTGTCTTATGCACATAATTAGTATTTTTTCTAACTTCAATTACTCATGCATCACTTCAACAACCAAGCATCAGTTTTAAACCCCAACATAAAAAACATCAACAAACACTCATTTGTCTTCAATGAATTACTTAAAATAATTTTGTTGAAAAATACACAAATTCAACACCCTATACAAAAATCTATACAAAACAATTCAGAAGATACTTAGCACCAGGTTTTAAAGAATGCCACCAACCTTTTTCCACTCTATGCAATAGTCCCAAAATCATTTTAGGGCAATTGCAGTAAGTCATTGTCCCAAGAAAGACTTTACAAACAAAACTGACCTCTTGTAAATGCATGCAAAACTATAAGGCCTCGTTTGGGAACAGGCTAATTTAGTAACTTTTTGACTATTTGACTAAAAAAGTAGGTAAAAAAAACTTATATGTTTGGGATGACATTTTGACTAATTATGAAAAGATGTGCAAAAAGTAGAGAGAAAAGAGAATCTTTGACTTTTTGGTATGAGTTGTTGGCTTTTTGGTTAAAATGGTAACTTTTTGGCTTTTTGGCTAAAAATGTAAGTCCCCAAACGGGGCCTAAGTAATTACTTATAATTGCATTTTTCTATGAAAATTTTTTAACAATAAAATATTAGTGACAACAAAAGCGAAAACAAATCTAAGATTATTTCCATAGAACCATATGGTATGACAATCTAACAGCACATAACATAACATATCTCTTGTTTTTTGCAATACCAGTTAAACAAGGGGACTCATTCCCCTACATATCCAAGGCTTGCAAAAACATGCTATTGTTATATTGTCCTTTAATCCATATATGGTCATGATAAGAACCTGAGACTTTCAAATGAATATATTTTTTAGTTTTATATTTTTCAAATCATAAGTCATAAGTAGTAGTCTTTGTTGCTTTATTAGTAATATAAGGGGGCCCTTCGGGTTTGATCTACAAACAAAAACAACAAAGCAATCACAACTCTCTAGCCGCAAAGCAATTAGTTCGCATGAGTCACATTCATTCAGTTAATAAGCAATGTTAAAAGATGAAGTATTAGAAAACCCCAAAGAATATGCCTTTTGGAAGGAGAAAAAAACCAAAAAATAAAATAATAATAATAATAATAATAATAATAATAATAATAATGAAAAAGAGCTCTTTTGATAGAGAAAAAGATCAACCCTCTTTATATATATATATATATATATGTACATACATGGAAATTGAAGGAAAAAAAAAATTATTGATCATGCTATCCAAGGATTACCCAGATCATACAAACAGTGACACACAAAATTCCCAACTAATCAGCAAATAATATAAAGTGAATATGGTATGCTTGCGTATGTTCTGTCATCCCAACCAGAACAAACAAGAATATACATGTTAGTAATGGGCGCCCATGTGGCATGACCATTAAATTTGATTTTGAATCCTTATCCAAATAGGTTTTGATTTTGAAATCAAACCTATTTAGGATAACCACTCTTGAAACAGACGTTATCAGTTTGAACTGATATAGATAGATATAATATATATTAGATATTATCTGTATCTTAACTGATATGGATAGATATTATAATATATTAAATATCTGATATGGTTATGGGTAATCTGTGAAAAAAGGAAAAATAACGTAGTCTGTTTTTCTACCCACATTCTGACTCTCTCCCAAAAACACAACGATCAAGTCTTTGACACTGTGGTTAGTGTGGGTGATATTCAATCTGTGATATCACTCCACTGCTGGGTTGGTTCATCAAGAAGTTTCCTGGAAGCACGTGATTTATCCAAGAAGGTTCTATCATCAAGAAGGTATGATCTGATCATTTTAATCCGCTGCATATTCTGTATATTTTTTTGAGTCTACACTAAGAATGTCAAGTTCATCTTCGATGAGGGCAAGTTTCCTACGTAGGACTTCTCAGTTCA